TCAGTTAACATATGTAAATATATATATTCATGCATATCTCAGTAGCTCAACACATTCATAAACAAAAACTTGCAAGTTATCACATAACCATAAAGCATTTTTATCAACAAGGCTTGTTTATCGCATAACATTAACTCAAAGTCAATATAGGAACCAACATGTCTATATTACCCATCTTAAGCTAGCCAATAATAACTTAGCATAACTTACAATTGCAGATACTATGATATACAATTAGAGCCAATAATTTGGGTCAAGCTCGACCGGCTAGCTAGAACTTGTCCCAAAAATTTAGGGCCAAGCCCGAAGGGTTTGAGCTTGGCCCAAATACCCGAATAAAAAATAATTTTTTAAAAAATATATAAAATATGATAAATATTAATTAATTTTTTAAGTTTTATATCATTTTATACCAAAATATTATATATATAAGTGTTTTAATGTAGTTATTTTTTAAAAAAATTAAAAATAGTTATATTTCATGTTTTTATTATTTTTAATCAATAACATATCTCAAAATAATATTTAAAATATATTTTAATATTGATTTTAATATTTTAAGACCCATTTTTTTAAAAAAAATTTGAGTCCTATGAATCATTTTCATATAAAAAAATAATTTTATTTTTTTATAAATTAAGATAATTAATTTTAAAGTAAAAAAATTAAAAATAATTTTAAAAATAAAATTTAGGCATGCACGAATTCCCGACTCTACTATTAGATAAACATGATAAATAGAATAATATTCTTGAATAATTACTTGATTATTGTTCATGTTAAATTTGGTTAAAAATTAAGAGTAAACTAGAGTAAGAATCCCTTATATGTAAGAGTTAAACAATATAAAAAATTAAAAAAATTTCAAAAAAAATATTTTACTCATAATTAAATAATTTTTTATATAATATAATGATGGAAATTTTTTTATATTCATAAAAATGAAAAGTACAATTTACTTACAAGTTATTAAAAACTTTAAACTAATCAAGATAATAATTTTAAGTTAGTAGTCTAACTGTGATTGAATTGAGATCAACTTAATCATAATTAAAATAATTTAATTTAATTAAAATATATAAAATATTTATATATGACTGTGATGAGAACAATATTTAAACAACTAAGACATTAATTTACAAGTAAAGGAAACATTCATGAATAAATTATATATAATAAAATAAAATAATAATAGAGCTACTTAAGTACAAAGTTGACAGTTATTTTTTATTTTATTCTTTTAAAATTAAGATAATATTTTACGCTTAATAGAATTATTTAAAAATTAAAATTAGTTCAAAAAATAAAGAAAAAATACTTTTAAAAAATTTTGGGTATTCGGGCTAGCCCAAATAAGCTCGAAGCCCGAAGGTGTTAGGGCCGAGCTTGATTATATAGGCTATTTAAAAGGGGTAGGATACTTTAAGCCCAATCTGAATTGAGCCCGGCCTGCCTGAATTACCGGCTCTATATGCAATGATTAAAATTTTTGATTACCTCAACTCTTAGTTTACTAACCAATAGTACCTGTGAATATTAAATGGAGCCTCTAATAAGTTCAATAGCACCAACAATATTCAATCTACAATCAAATATACTCATAGTCATTAATGACTAATTATGCTTAGTTAACTCTAATTAAAACCTAAAACCAAAAATTTCATTATAGTCATTTATCCATAACTAAATTTATTTTTCAGTTCCTTTAATTCACTTAAACTCTTATTAATTTAATCAACATCACTAATAACTCATAACCTCCATAGCTCAACTAGTTAGCTCTACGATTTACTCCAAACTCTACTTTAAAATCCTAAAACATCAATAGCATTGTAATCAAAAGGTTAGACACTTAAATAAAGTCTCATTAATCCCATTAAAAATAGAATTTTAGGCAAACTCACAACTCATTTTTAGATTCCTAAAGAACTACCAAAAAAACCATAGTAAAAATGCACAAGAAAGGAAGAGGGGAGGTTATAAGTATTTACCCAAGTAATTAAAAGCTTCAAATAGACTCAATTTGATATCCACAACAAACCTAGCAGAACCCTCTTAATTCACCTTTGAACTTTCACTCAAAACTCTAATTTTTTAAGCTGAAAAGCGAATTTGAAAACTTAAAAATTAACTTTTGACTGTGGTCAATAAATCTTTGGTTATGGTCAAAAATTAAAATTTTAGATTCCGAACATTGTGCAATTAATTGAGCCCAAATATAGCCCAATATCACCTAGGATCCAATTATAAACTCTAATTAAAATATGATATATTCATTAGCCATTCATATATTATTGTTATTTTTTTAATTCAAATTAACTCTTAATTATCTAATTTATTATTAATTACTTAATTATTTTTAAGTTAAATTTTTTGAGATGTGAGGTAGACGAGAGAGAAAATAAAGCAAAGCTGCAAGTTCTTACCAAATTCTGTTACTCCTTGTGATGTTTTGTACTAGCTCACTTCTAGTGACTTTTCTTGGGCTTGGATGACTGCTAACGACTAGTCCTAATACCAAATGAGAGCATTCTATTCTAAAAATAAATGCATAGCAGTACTGTGCTTTGGTATCAATGTCAAATTTTCAGTGTTTCTGGAGGGAGTTGCCTATGGAGGATTCTAACTACCAATAATTAGCTTGATACGAAATGATAGATATCTATTTTGAAAATAAATGCCTTGCACTGTTTTTTTTTTTTTTTTTTCCGTATTAGAGCCAAGTTGTTGGCAGTTTTAGAGAGGGTTACCTAAAATGGGATTTGACTGCCAATAACCAAACCTGATATCGAATGATAGAGCCCAACAAGCTGTTCAAGGAGTTACATATTCGGTGGATATGTGGTTTTTCTATTGCATATTTTTTTATAAACATGTATGGGGATCCAGACATTGTTTTTTTCGTTTTGTCAATTTCTTTTTGTGTTGGTAGCTCAATTTGATTGCTTGTTTGTTGTTTCTCAACATCCTTTTTATTCGTGTTAATATACACATGTTTGAATATAATAAAAGATTAATTTAACTTTATAATAATATATAGGGTTGTTGTGTCTAGTAAGCGATTAAAATATTAGCTGCTCCTAAAATATTCTCTCCCAGAATATCTAAACATAATATTGATATATATTAATATTTTCCATTAATAAAATATTGAGTCCAAATTGTATAAAATAGGTTCTTCTAAGAAATTAACTTATTCTTTGATTATATTTAGTAAAATAAGTCCATATTTTATTTTTCTTGAAATTAAACTCATATTTAGATTAGAATTTATAATACCCTAATGAAGTTATTATTGTTTTGGATTACTAAGTTTAAATTTTTATTAGAGCCGTTGGAGAGAACCGGAGCCCTCCTCAACACGAGGATGTTCCATTCGAAGCGCCTCATCAATCTTTCCCTAAATGTTGACCATGTTTATAGGTTAGTTCTCAATCTGCTCTTGTTATTCCATTCTCAGTCTCCTCAGTTGCAATGAAGAGTAAGAAAATGTGCCGTCATAATGATTGTTATATAATTGGAAGGATAAAAAATATTAGGTTAAAGTATATATTTAGTTCTAACTTTATATAATGTTTTATTTTAGTTTCTTAATTCTATAAAGTATTTTTTTAGACCTTTAACTCTAATACTATTAATTTTATCCTAATAAATTTTTACATTAAACTTTTAAATATTGACAAAATATCCTCAAATATTAATATATTATGTTTAATTTTTTTAGAATAACAACGATTGACATAAAAAATAATCATTTGAAACTAATAATATTAGAATTAAAGGACTAAAAGATATTTTATAAAATTAAATGATTAAATTGAAACCTTATAACAAAATTAAGGGACTAAAAGCATATTTTTGGTAAAATGTTATCATCACTGTTGTTTTGGCATCAAAGTCAAGTTGTGATAATGTAGCATTTTTTATCTTATCAATTCCTCTTGTTTATATTTTATATCAACAGTAGTCTTAAAAATTCATCTAATCAACTTCTTTTATTAATTATTTTCCTATTTAATAGTTGCTGTATATTTTTTATTTTATCAATTTTATCACCTCTTCTTTCTCATAGATTTTTTTATTAATTTTATTTTTTCCTCTTAAATGAGAGTATTTATGTGAATGGATAGTAATATTTTATAACATTTACATATTTAATAAATTTTATATTAAAGTTACATTATAATTTATACTCCATCTGTTAAAAAATATAATGTATTTTTTGAAGAGCTGAATATTATAAAATGTAAGACTTTTTTAATCTTTCGAGATGCAATCATTGTTTTTTTTTTTTCAAAAGTACCCTTATTGATAATGACTGTATATTTATTGTAGGTGTTAATATGATAATAAATATGAAAACATAGAGTTAGTTAAAAAATAAATAATTATTTTATTGAGGGTAAGATTTAATTAAAAATATTTTATATTTTTAAACAGAGAAAGCATAAAATTTACATTTTAATCATGATGTTAAAAAAAAAAATCCAAGGCTTAGGCCAGTCTTTTGGACTTCATACATTGGATCAGCCAGGCAGCTGAACTGGGCTTATAGTTTCTGTTGATTCGAACTTTGAAGGATGTAGGTCTGGTGAGTAGTGTCAAGTTTCGATTGTATATCTGGGGGCCCAATTCGTATATATGATTGAGCTGAGGATGATCAACTATGAATTGAAGGCAGAAGAATAGAGGGTCCACGTGTGCGGGCCAAAGGCAAAGGAAAAGGCACTGTCATAAAAACGTGACGTTTTTGAAGACGTCAAGGCGATAACGTGTATCATGTATGTGGGCATGGGTCAAATTGGCAGAAGCATGTGGCCTTCCTGTATTTTTCCTTCGTAGGGTTTGATTATGAGCCTATCAGCATCGTCTGGTGAATATGCCCTCCGTGTGTGCCAAACAGGCAACGACTGCGACTTTTCCAGCACTTTTTGCTTAATTTCCACCGTCTTCTTATTAACACCAAGTGACCAACTGGATATTTTTCTCTAGGATGGGTCTTCTCAAATGCCTTCTCCACCACTCAAAAATAGATTCTTATTCCTTCTCAAACTCCAACCTCTTGCCCTTGTATAAATTCAGACTTCCTGTTCTTGCCTTCTCAACCCATTTCTGAATTCCTTCTGATTTCTCCGCCGTTGCTTCAAATCAGATTCCCAGAGTGTGTATTTAGGAGGGTCGGCGTTCGAGGACTATCTGAAAATTAAGGGTATGCTTTCTTCTTCATCTTCTTTTTCCCATCCATCTCACTGTCTCCCGAATTTCTTTTCAAGTTCAATGGAGGCCCTTTCGCTGTCCTCTTATCTGCCACCCAGAATATATTCATCGATTTAGACCATTTTCTTTTCATGCGCACGCAAAAGGCCTAAAATTGAAAGGGATAAAACTTCTTAATGCTTGCCATATCCAGCTTTTGACATAGTCCCCATATTATACCCTGGTGTCAGGGCTTGGATCTACTAAACATGATTTGAACGCAGGTCAAGTTCATGTCAAATTGTCAATCCTGTCACTTAATCCAGTTGAAGGGACATAATCAGTAATATTGGCTTAAATGCTTTTAGTTTTTTGGTCGATTCAGATTTCACGTATCTGTTCATTATTACTGTCTTCAAAATTTTCTGACCGCTAATTTATAACTTATACTCTCTTGTTACAATAGATCACCGAGAAAGCAGAACAATGCTGCTAAGAAGCTCTTCAACGCCGGTTCTTGGGTCTCTCCTCTCATCCTTCTCAGAAAGTCCTTGTAATTCCATGCACTTTGAAACCATCCTCGCGAGGAAGCATCTACCACCATTACCGACCACTAGTGTTCCTCACCATAACCACAAACTCTCTTTTCACCAAACTGGGCCTATCAATCTCTCCTTCTCATCCACTTCCTCTCCAATCTCACCCTCCATTGCTGACCTTGATCGCCACAGAGGCTTCAGAAGAGCTCAATCTGAAGGCAACTTGGAGGACCTCGCATATGCTTCTTGCAAGAAAAGCTTGTTTACGCTGGACACAATTCAATCTTTTTCCTTCAGTAGCCACAAGGGCTTAAGAGAAGAAGAGGAAGAAGAGGGAGAGGAAAGTGACTTTGAAGAGGAGGAGGAAGAGTGGGAAGAAGAGAATGGAATTTCAAGTACAATGGAAGGCGTCAAGAGTTTGATTGTGACTGAAGATGAGAGAGTTGAGAATGGAGTTTGCAGCGTGGGTTTTGATAAGCAGGAAAAAATGAGTGTGAAGGAAACGCATCCTGCAATGGAGTTAGGAACTGAAGGTTGTGGGGACGGCATGGGTGGCTGCAGAGGAGGCGACGGAGGCAGCGGGGATCATAACTCCATGGGCTCCGGCGGCCATGACGGAGAAAGGCATGAGGTGGAAGAATATTACAAGAGAATGGTGGAAGAAAATCCGGGAAACCCCTTGTTCCTGAGGAACTATGCTCAGTTCTTGTATCAGGTAAGCGAAATTTCCATATCATGCTGTCTCATTGTCTGAAACTTCATTATCATAATCCTAATTCTCTTTTAATGGCGAAGACCTCATCTAGGTGCCAAGATCAACGGAAATAATAAAGAATAGGATTGATAGCAGTATTGATCATGCTCCTTTTAATTCCCTGCTGATATTTGGTAAATGAATTGTTGTGTGTATTTTGAACAGTACAAAAGAGACCATCGTGGAGCAGAGGAATATTACTCCAGGGCGATACTAGCCGACCCAGAAGACGGTGAAGTTCTTTCAATGTATGGAAAGTTAGTGTGGGAGCTACAACGTGACCAAGACAGAGCCTCAAGTTACTTTGAACGAGCAGTTCAAGCCTCACCCCAAGACAGGTGTGTTTGTGTGTGTGTGTCCCCTTACCACTCACAGAACATGCAAGATGAAACATTTCTGGGATCCATTCTGACATTATCTTATGTTTGATGATATACTTGCAGTCACGTGCAGGCAGCATATGCTAGTTTCCTTTGGGAAACAGAAGAGGATGAAAATGGCTGCAGTGAGCCCGAATGCTCACAACCACACTTCCATGAAGGAGCCATGGTGGTTTCTGCTGGTGCTTGATCAATGGGAAAAGCTTATACCGACGATGCAAATATGACGACTTAGCTGTACTAGAAAGTAGAATCCCTTAAAACCATGTTATATTGAGGAGACATGCGTATTCTATTAAGTGAGATCCCGAACTGAATAATGATTCCAGACTCTCCATTTTGCCTCACATGCCGTGACCGAGTCTTAAAATCGCTCCATGATGAGACGTATATTGGAGAAGCAATCAATTTCCTTAATGATCATCTGCATGAAAAGGAATAGACCTGTCCCGTGGCATTTATATGTAATGAAGACATTTCAACTGGATGATGGGGAAGAAAGAAGTTGAAGGAAGGTGCTGAAAGTTTCGTTGACAGTCAAAGTAATTGAGTGAAGCAGTGATGCACGTAGTTGCTCGGCTTACTTACATTGATCTGGCGACCTTTAATAGCAAATAATCACATGCTGTGTCTACACAAACATCAATTACCCGCCAACATGAGGCGCTCCCGAGGATTGGTTTATTTTTTATATACAAAAGATTCGTAGACGATTGATTTACCAACAAATGCTTACTTAAAAGAAAACCTTTAAATTGGAGGATATTACAAGAGGTGATTTAAAATTAATAAGGTTGAAAGTTGATTGAATTGGTGAGGATTTAGTTTATAATACATGAGTTTATTATGGATTCAAATCCCTCTGGCTGTCAATGTTAAAATTTTTTGTTAAATATTACTCCCTTCACTAAAAGTGTAAGGTATTTTTTGAAGAGTTAGATGTTAAAAAATATAAAACATTGTTAATTTTTAAAAAATTATTTTTTTAAATACATCTATTAAATAAATTATTATATATTTATTTTAGAGTAAAACATCCTATTAAATAGGAATAAAAATAAAAAAATAAAATTAATCTAAAAATAAGTAATTATTTTTAAAAAATAAAATTTAATTAAAAATATATTATATTTTTTAACAAACGAAGTAATAAATTGATTTTCATTTAAAGATTAATGATTGATTTGACATATAATGACTGATGGCATCATTTAATACTTAATCCATCTAATCCTAAATACGATATTTAATTAAATAATTTAGGAAAATTAGAAAAATTAGTTAAGTTGTTTATTTTTATTATTTATTATTATGTAAAAAATGTGTGTCATTTTTCATAAAATACACCTCGTAATGAAAGTAGTGAATATAAAAGACAAAAAGAGTAAAAAAAAATACTAAAATTAACTTAGGTAATGTGAAAAATATTAAATAAAAGGGAAGAAGAAAATTGAGATTATATATTTATGATCAAAATAAATTACTCCACAATGTCTTAAATTTAAAATGAATTAAATATTTAATGATTTATAAAAGTGAAGTATTAGTATTAACTATTTTTTGAAGTTTATCAAAAAGTATATTCTCTTAAGAGAATGATAATTAAGTTTTTAAAAAAGGATTAATGATTTTTGACAAAAAAATTAAAAAATAAATTACAATATTCAATTTTAATAAATATAAATTTTAGAGTTTTTATTTAAATTAAACATTTAAATTTAAATTTTAAACATAACTCCTAATTTATAATTTTTTTGATTGGTATTCTCCTGTTAGCGGGTATTCAAACCTTGGTTTTAACCGAGACTAACTTTCTAAGTTAACCCAGCCCTATTTAACTCCCAATTTATAATTTGAATTGGTGAATCAAAATACTTTATTAAGAGCTGAATGTAATTAATTTCATCTTTTGCTCTCTAATCTCTATTCTCTACGTTGGCCAAAAAAATCTCTATTCTCTAGTGCAGCTACAGCAGCGTCGACGTCTATCTTGAGCAAGATAACCCAAAAAGGCTAAACCAGATTATCTTCTTCCTTCTTCCTGCTCATCGGAGGGCATCCTTCTCCCTTCTCCATCTCGAATTCGAACCTGTAGAGCTACGCACCTTTCCTCGCGGCTTCATCATATACTTGAATCCAGTAGCGAGGCAAACCAAATGCTTTAAATAATCTCTTCCTCTTTGCTTTCGGCATAGACAGGTCCTCTTTCAATTGTTACTCCCCATCAGCTTTGGACACGAGCATAATTTCGAGCGAGTCTCATCAATCAGAACTCGTTTTCTTGTCGCGGAGCACTCCTCAGATTTTTTTTGGGCCGTAACTCTTCCCTGGCCCGTTTTGTTCCTCTTTGATCTACAGACTTGGTCCTAACGTGAAAAGCTCTAAATTGTATCAAATTTTTTAAAAAAATTAAAATATATAATTGAATATATTTTAGGGCATCAAATTTTAAGGGAGTAAGTTTAAGTAACTAAAAATAATTCATAAATTATTTTCATAAGTAAAAAATAATATTGATTTTGAAAATCAAAATTAAAATTTAAAGTATTTATGATTTTTAAATTTTATAGAAAAATGTGAGGTGAAATAAAATTGATTGAAATAAGTAAACAAGCGAGTTCTTTAAAATTTAAATCTACTTTTATCATTATAAAATTTTAAGTTCAATTCATTCGGTTTTTACAATTCATTTGACATTAAGTAAAATTCTTAATTATCATTAGAATTAAGTAATTATGGATTAGACCAAGACACAATCTCTATAAAAATTATGTCAAACAATAACTTGACTTAAGAATTAGACCTTGTCTTGCCTTAATCATGTTCTAGCACTTAGAACTAATCAAAAATTAAGCAATTAACTTTAATTTAAGATTTAAATAGAAGCTAATCGATTCAGACATCAATATAAAGATTAAATAAATAATATTTACAAAATAATAATCATAAAAGTATAAATTCAAATATTTAATATACATCATCTAATTTAAAAGTATATTTAAAACATTTAAGTCTCTTAAAAAAGTAAAATTAACCAAAAAATTTAATCTAATTAAAATTGAATCACCAAACTAATAGCAAGAAAATTAGAGCAATGGAACTAAAAAGACTCAAGTGCAAATCTCATCTTCCATTGAGACTCTAGAGAAGAGTCAGCTGCTTATTTTGTTCTCCTCAATGGTTGACTGACGAAAACGTCCACAAGAAGCCGCCGTGGCTGTACGCTTGAAGGAAACTGTGAGCTTGGCGAGCATGCGACTGAACTGGAAACTGAGAGGAGAAGCTGTGATGGCGAATCTGTGTGACGAGATAAGAGTCTGCAACCATGTGCGGCCAACTGAAAACCGAAAGGAAGATGAGTGTCCTTGCGTGTGTGAGGTGGTGCGACCAGAGGAGAGTCAGCGATCGTGCGAAGTAGAGGAAGATGTGCGAAGATTCTGCAACTCAGAACTCATGAGCGTCCGCCTGTGATGCTCTGAAACCTCAAAGGAAAGTGAGCGAACCTGTGTGTGTAATTGGCCGAATTCAGACTTGAATGAAGATGGGTGATCAATGTGCGATCATCTCTGAACCCAGAGAGCTGTACGTGTGGAGCTGTGAACCAGAGGAGATGAGCATTTTTTTTTTTTTCCAGCTCCGCGACCAAGGAAGAAGAGTTACGCCTTCACCGTTTTTCCGTTTCTGCATCCTCGTGTTGCTGAAAAGTCAGAAAAAAAAACTAATTTAAAATAAAAAAAATTACTAAATTGACCTATTAATTTCTTAAAAACATAAAGTAGCTAAAACTACATTAATCTAATATAATTGAATTAAATAAAATCTTAAAAAAAATAAAAATAAAAATTATTTAAGCTATAAAATACATTAAAGAATTAAAATTTTAAATTAAAAATAATTAATTTTAATAAAATGAATAAAATGATTGTTAAAACTCAATGTAAATAAATTTATAATTAAATTTAATATTAAAATTATGTGTATAAAAATTTAAATTAATAAAATATGATTATAAATATAAAAAAAAAAAAGTGTGCAAAATATGTTACTTATCATAACCCTTGTCTTCGCGTTTCTCTGTCTGATTTTTTTGGACGTTCCGTTCAAGGCCAACCCATGGCGACCGCCTCAGGTACTTGTTTTCTCCTTCAACTGCTTTTTATTCGGAACATTGAATTTAAGGTTCTGAGAACCCGAGATTAAATTATTTAACTTTTCTTTGTTTTCTTTTTTGAGCCCATACTATTCCTGTTACAGAACTTGCTGTTACTTCAGGTGGAGAGGCCAATATTTGTCTAACGTCTATTGCTTGTATGTGTTATAAACGGGTCTGTATACTCTATAAACAGCTTCTACTTTCAAGCAAAGGGGCGGTAGAAGAATTAATTGTACTAACTGCAATCCATAATGGGGAAAACAATTGAAGAAATGTTGACAGTGCAAACTGAACGTGAATCTTATCACGGAAGGGAATGAAAAACATGTAGACTCTATTGGTGGTTTATTTTCGATTGGTTTTGTCTCGCTTCATCTATTTTAACATTTTTTGCATGATTATAAGATTGTCAACACGTTGTCCACATTACAGATATAATTTTCACTTCCAATGACTATTTTTTTTTTCCTTGAGATTATTGCTGTTCAATTGTCTTGTATAACATATATTCTGTGATTGCAGTTGCATTTAAATCCAGGGAGGATCATCGTAAACAAATTGAACTGGAAGAAGCGCGTAAAGCTGGGCTTGCACCTGCAGAGGTTGATGAAGATGGATAAGAAATCAATCCTCAGATTCCCCAATACATGTCTTCTGCACCTTGGTATCTTAATGCTGAAAGACCCGTAAGTCTCATTTTCTTTTTTAATGAGTATCCTTTATCTAAGGATATTTGACTTCTAAGAGTCATTTCTTTTGGTTTTCGCAGAGTTTAAAACATCAAAGGAAGTGGAAATCAGATCCTAATTATACAAAATCATGGTATGACAAGGGTGCTAAAACTTTTCAGGCAGACAAATATAGGAAGGGTGTGTGAGAAGTAAGTCTCATACCCTCTCATGTTTGCGTGCGTTGTATGCACAATTTATTGGATCATCTCTATTTTGATTTCATGGAAATCTGAAATATCGTTTGATGGATAGGTTTGTACACAATATTGCAATGTATTTTTTTCTTGCGAGATTATGGATCATAATGCTAGAATGTTTGTCCCTATTTCCCTGACTATACAGTATATGCAATATTTTTTTCTTGGGAGATTGTGGATGTTTGTGACAATGCTAGAGTATTTATGTACATATTCCCTGATTATATTTATATTTTCATTTTCTATTCAAGCTTAGCTAAGTTCTTGTTGTTTACTTGTTATAGCTGCGGAGCTATGACACATGATGCTAAATCATGTATGGAAAGACCACGAAAGGCTGGAGCAAAGTGGACAAGCAAGAACATTGCCCCTGATGAGAAGATTGAACTTTTGAGCTTGACTATGATGGCAAACGGGATAGATGGAGTGGTTATGATGCATCAACATATGCGCGAGTGATTGAAAGGTTTGAAGCTAGAGATGAAGCTCGAAAAAAGTACTTAAAAGAGCAACAGTTGAAGAAACTGGAGAAAAGCAACCAAAATGGTGAGGGTGCAGTTAGTGATGAGGATGAAGAGCAAGATGATCTAAAGGTTGATGAGGCTAAGGTTGACGAAAGCAAACAGATGGATTTTGCAAAGGTTGAGAAGCGTGTACGTACAACTGGTGGTGGAAGTTCAGGAACTGTGAGGCATTTTTTTTTTTTTTTTACAGTCCATTATATGATACAGGGCCACTTAATCCCAATTTTATCATTTCATAAATTAATTGCATCTACTTTTCCCTTCAGGAACTTGCGTATTCGTGAGGATACTTCAAAATATCTACTTAATCTTGATGTCAATTCTGCACACTACGATCCTAAAAGACGGTCCACGCGTGAGGATCCTCTTCCAGATGCAGATCCAACGACAAGTTCTATGGGGTACTCTTCCTTGAGAGTTGAAACTTTATAAGAATTTCTATAATGTAACTGCGATGCTGTATGTGTTTTGAACTTTGTATTTAAGCGACGTCTGCTCTCATGTTCCAGAGAGATAACCAATATAGAAAGGGTGGGCAAGCTTTGGAATTCAAGGAATTAAACATTCATGCTTGGGAAGCATTTGACAAGGGGCAGGATGTTCATATGCAAGCAGCTCCATCCCAAGCTGAGCTGGTTTACAAGAATTTTAAGATAATGAAGGAGAAATTGAAATCTCAAACAAAGGACACTACTCTGGAGAAGTATGGCAGTGCAGCTGATGAGGACAAACTTCCAAGGGAACTTCCTTTGGGCCAAAGTGAGAGGCAGTTGAGTATGATTGTGCTGGTAGAATCATAAAGGGACAGGTAAGATTTGCATTCAAAGTTGTTAGAGTCTGGTTTCTAACTGCTATGTTGCATTTTCAACTTGCATAATTTTAGTTGACATGATTCTCGTTGATCGCGTAAGTTTGACCATTTCCTTGGTTTGATAATAGCATTTTTTGACCGTAATCTGAAAATTTAAGGAAAACATGATTTGGTTTGTGCTTTGTTGTCCTTGGTTATTAATAAGATGATGGATTTAGTTATTTATCTTGGTACTTCTAACAGGAGGCAGCACTTCCTAAGGGCAAGTATGAAGAAGATTTTTTATTAACAACCACACTGCAGTTTGGGGGTCTTGGTGGAAGGATCACCAGTGGGGCTACAAATGCTGCAAACAGACAATAAGAAACAGCTATTGCACAGGAGCTGCTGGTATTGAGGCTGCTGAGGCTGCAAGTGATCTCGTGAAAGCTAATATTGCTCGTAAAGAGGCTGCTGAAGGTATGCTGAGTGTCTACCTACACATATATTGTCCTCGGCCCCTCCCCCTTTTCTTAGTTTGTCTTTTTCCCCCCATCTTGATAATTCTGTTATATCACATGCGGCTTCCTCTTTGGTAATCAAAATCTTTCTGTGAACCTTCTTCAGAGGATTATAAACTTGCAGAGGCGAAAAATCTTGCAACAGGGGGGAACTGATGTTCCAGATGACCTGGGGTCTATGAGAAATTGCTTGCTGAAGCACTCAAAAAGGTCAATATTAGTCTTCTTGTCTTTTATTGCATTGGTGTGTCATGACATTCTTCTATTTCTTGTTTTGCCTGCCTGAGGAATTTCTTACAGTTTGTGTCCAATTTTTTTTTTTTCACCTTAATTAGGAAGGTGGGAGAAAGTATGGGCTTCAAAGGAAGCCATGCATATTATTTTGTGAGAACAGACAACATATATTGTGTTTGAGTATCTTAATGTGCTGATTGGTGAATTCCATGGTATTACGCAGGAGGATAAGAGAAAGAGAGAAGAGAGAGATGAGAGGAAGCGGAACTATAATGTTAAATGGAATGATGATGTATGGATTTTGAAACCGCTGACTGAGAATTTTAGTGTGCTGGCCTCTGGTTCTGATTGCTAACCAACTACGTCGGCCACAGGTCACTGCAGAGGATATGGAAGCATACAGGATGAAGAAAGCACATCACGATGATCCGATGAAGCACTTCTGCATTAAACAAACTTGAGAGGGTAATTCTGTTATATCACATGCGGCTTCCTCTTTGGTAATCAAAATCTTTCTGTGAACCTTCTTCAGAGGATTATAAACTTGCAGAGGCGAAAAATCTTGCAACATGGGGAACTGATGTTCCAGATGACCTGGTTCTGGATGAGAAATTGCTTGCTGAAGCACTCAAAAAGGTCAATAATTAGTCTTCTTGTCTCTTTATTTGCATTGGTGTGTTCATGACATTCTTCTATTTCTTGTTTTGCCTGCCTGATGAATTTCTTACAGTTTGTGTCCAATTTTTTTTTTTTCACCTTAATTAGGAAGGTGGAGAAAGTATGGGCTTCAAAGGAAGCCATGCATATTATTTTGTGAGAACAGACAACATATATTGTGTTTGAGTATCTTAATGTGCTGATTGGTGAATTCCATTGGTATTACGCAGGAGGATAAGAGAAAGAGAGAAGAGAGAGATGAGAGGAAGCGGAAATATAATGTTAAATGGAATGATGATGTATGGATTTTGAAACCGCTGACTGAGAATTTAGTGTGCTGGCCTCTGGTTCTGATTTGCTAACCAACTACGTCGGCCACAGGTCACTGCAGAGGATATGGAAGCATACAGGATGAAGAAAGCACATCACGATGATCCGATGAAGAAATTTCTGCATTAAACAAACTTGAGAGGGCATTAAAGTATGCTGCCTGTTTTTTGCTAGTTTTGGCGGTCTTGTTTTTCTTGCTGCAACCTACCTGCCAGCAGGATTTTTGTAGGTTGGATCAACCTCATACAGATGTGTTGAAACCAAGATGTAGATTTTGGTTAATGTAGTATAGTTATTAGCTATATCATTTGTTTATTGATTTTGATAGTGAGCTTTAATATCATCTACGTCTTGGTCTAAGATTCAGTTTTACTCTACTGATCCTCCGTTAATCACCAAGCAGGTAACCAGTGAAACCTCTCCAATCCCCTTCTTTCTCCCCCTTGTCCTCCATTTTGAAAGAAGAAAGAATAAAAGTTTACATCTCAAAATGCAAATATTGGATGGTATTAAAATGAAGTATATATTCGTTTTAGCAGATATCCGCTTTCCTTGTTTTAGGGAATGTGTTAAATTTGATATATTTACAATGTATTTATAAAGTTGAAGTGTTTGTTTTTTTATAGATTGTTTGGTTACTAGCATGGAAAGAATAATTATTTCTGAAGTTCCGCCAACGGCGTAGATGTAGGACAAGTATAGATTAATTATTTGTGTAACGAGTTTTGTGAATTATTATTTGATTATGCAGCAGATACCAACCGAAATTATGATGCCAAAAATGTAATAAGGCGAAGGAATTAATTGTTGGAAATAATTCATTGATAGGGAGCCTTTCCTAGTAAAATGTTTAACGCTGTTCGTATGTGGTCAGAGTAGTCGTCCTTCCATGTGCGTCGGACATGCACGTGAGCATTTGCCCCGTTCAAGATATGTTCGTGTGTTAAAAAATAATAATAATACAAGAACTAATACACACACTTGGCTACTTCTTTCTTATAAGTGGTTCTATTTTTCTCATCAAAAGAAAGTCGTTCTATTTTTCCTGAAAAGATTTATTAAAGAAATTGCATTAGCTTTTGATGATCATGGGAGTATCATGGTCCATATTTGCACCAACCATTTTTAAACTCGACCATGGAAACTTAGAGGAGCATATGACTCTCAACTCTCGATTTGAACAAACGACTACTGTCACAGTTAAAGTGAAACACCTGAACTGCTAGTATTATCTTACATACCTTCCCATGCCAAAAGGATTGCATTGGTTGCCTTTCTATTTATTTCTTTATTCCCTAGCAGGCACCTACGGGTCTAAGCCATGGCTCTCGGAGAGTGCTGTGGCGGAACCAACAACTGAAGTGGACTATTGTCCTTGACCTGTCTAGCCTGCTCCCCCCTCAGCTGGTATACACGTGCCACCACTTCTTCCGGCCACGCCTGTATCTGCCCCGGCAACGTCGCTACCATCGCCATGTCGTTGGTCTTAAATGCCACCCACAGGAAGTGTTCGCTCTGCGACCTAATCGCCGCCGCAAAGTTCTGCGGCACCACCACCACCCTCCCCGCACTCAGTTCCTGGTTGAACACCGATTTCCCATTGCTATCCACTATCTCAATCTTTGCTCTTCCCTCAACTCCATACACTATGCTGTGAGCGTTCAAGTTGTAGTGTGGCACGTATATTGCTCCCTGCAACACCAACAATCACATTCCATGGTTTGGATGAAACATGTATACTGCACATAGAAGGGGCTCAAGTGATTGATTATATACATTGTGAAGAGAGCCGAACTCAGCGCTTAGCCTCATCGACTTGAGAATCGGGAGGTCTAAGCTATTGACGCTCCTGAGGCTGCCGGCTTGTGGGTCGTAGATGTCTGGGGATGTGGTCTTTCCGATGTTCTGTTTAAGTCTGAGGCTGCACAGTGTCTCCTCCAACCCATTCTGGCTTCCACTGATCTCATCCTCACCCTGAAGGTCTTGCTCTTCTTCTTGTTCACTGCTCCTGGAAGGTGATTTGAAGATGCTGAGCCTAAGACCGCCTTCCACTCTGATAATGTTTCCCTCCCTCTGGTCGTTCTGCCCTCGGAGATTCTCCACCGTCTCTTCGTCGGCGGTGTCGAAGGCGTGCTTCACAGTGTCGCTCCCGAACCCACCGATCATGTTGCCACGTCCTTCCTGTTCTTGTCCCTGTCCCTCTTGTTCTCCTTCTCGACGACCTCGTGACGGCTCTTTGTGATGCAGTCCTCCCTCCTCCTCCTCCTCCTGCTTCCTTCCTGACTGATATTGGGAAAACTCTTGCTTCTCGTTGCCGGCGAGATAAAATATCTGCCGTGAAGAAGCGTCAAACGTAAGGTTTCTTGTTACTGTGGGTTTCATATAGTAAGGCCAGAATGCTTAGAAAGATCAACTGATAAATATACCGTGGGCGTGGTATCAAGCTGATTTTGGTGGCTGGAGGTGTGAAGGAGATGAATGGCATGAACCTCTTCTTTCTCGTTGTTGTACATCCAGAAAGAAATACCCACCGGCACCGCTATTACATCACCTGCTTTGAAGTGACGTATTTTCTGGTGACGATCTCGGGACTCCTCGTACGTGTTCCGACACCCAGGTATTACCACTCCAATTACTCCTCTTCCTGTTTTCATGCATCAAAATAAAATAAACATTCGCGTGCATGGCGTGAGTGTATCTTTATGACTAATGTCAGACAGAGAGAGAGAGATGTGGACAGTGTCATCTACCTTTTACGATAAAAATGAGCTGAGGAGAACTGGAATAGGAAGGCAACCTAAGGCCGTGTTTTTCCAAGATGCAGCGAGATAGAGCCACACCACTACAATGGAACTGCTCGTTGTTGGGGTCCCATGTCTCGATCCGACCAGCTTCCGATCTAACGATGTTGTCCGGTTTGAGAGACTGGAGCCTCTCGAACTGGCACAGGTTTTGCTGGGGCCGCTCCCGGAGAGCCAAGCAGCTTCCCAGAACCAAAACAAGACCCAAATGCAGAGAGAGGGAGAACTAGAAAGCTTATAGAAATAATTATAAGCCATGAATGGGACTAGTTGCGTTTGCTTGTGGGTGAGCAGAGAACCCCAGGAATAAGACTTATAGCGAAGAGGAGAGGGGTGAGTGAAGGACACGTCACAAGTCAGGCTATTGAGGCAGAGACATTCTTCAGCATGCATGGCTATGCAATCTCAATGAGTTACACCTCATCAATTATTTGCCTTTCGATCTTTCTCCTAATGCAACCAAAGTTGGAAAATATGCCATTGTCTGTATCTGATGCAGCAGTGATACCTCTTGAGCCACCTGCGTGTTCTATGAGGGACCGTTACCCTCTGTCATGCTCTTCTTCATTTTGTCTTCTTTCATTCATGTGTGCGTCTCTTCTTCCGTTTTACTTTGAAGCATATAAAGCAACAAATCATAAATTTCATGCGCAAGAGAGTTTCACGACAAAAAAAGGCAATATAGCTCGAGCTTAATTTTAGGAGGCTTGTTAGCTGATTTTAAGGCATATATTTGTAAAAAGTATACCTTCGTGTAATGACGAAAGCTGGTTTTTTTTTTTTGGCTGGTTCTGCTATTTTTTTCTGCTCCTATGAAGCTCAATTGATCAATCCAAGCAGTTATCAGAAGATAGAGAGATGAAAAGAAATCATATTATGAACACTAATCAATTGTATACATATTCACTCATATCAGTCGAAGAACAAATCAAAAGAAGTCCTTCGACAAATTTAGAGGACCTGAAGTATACATTTAAGAAGACAAATCCTAAGAGGAATTGCTTTAATAATTTTGTACGTCTTTCAAGAGCCCTAGCATTTGCCTCACCATTTGACCCTACAATGAACAATTAAGTGAGAAAATGCACGGCCTTAAATCCTTAATTATATACATGCAGACTTTGCATGGATAAGACAAAGTTGATTGCTTATAGGCAGTTGAGAACAATTTTCTTTTATAATTCTTTGTTGGGAAACTCATTGATAAGTTCGAAAGACAAAAATTTCTTCAAATATTTCACTTACCAGTGGGCATAGTTAAACTCACGTGTATTGGTTATGAGTTTTGAGTTATACCGTTTAGACTAACAAATACTCCTATCACTTATCCAACGTTGAAATGAAGATGTTTTCAAATCACAGGAGTACGTCAGAAACTGAGGCAATATCCCATGTCCATTAAATGAAGTAAATGCATTTTAATTTGTGCAGTACAGATAGAATATTTAGGCCAGATCATTTCTAGAAGCATAAAAAGTCACACCAAAACAGAATAAAGAGTTTGTATCCCAAAAAAATTGAATAAGTAATAAATACTAATAAATCCTCAGAGTTCTTGGACCTCACAAGGTATTATCACAGATTCGTGGGAGATAGATAATGGGAGAATCTAGAGCATTTTTAGCATCCCATAGTTGCTGGAAAGTTGGGCATTTGCACCACTACTAGAACTTTATCAACGAAAAAGGCCGTATCTTCCAGCCCTTGGTTTAAAAAACGCCGTATCTTCTGGTCCTCTAATGCCATTTCCGTAGCCAAAAATTGAGGGATATTACCACAGAATTGCAAAACAATTCTTTACCGCGCTCTGAAATTCAGACAAAAAACATCAACTTTGTGGGTGCAACATGAAGCACATAATAATTTAACGGGACATCGCTCCCAAGACCATTACCGTAACACACCAAGAGACATAATCAACAAAGCTGAGCACCAAGATTGTTTAGGTACCTGTACAGGATAAGCAGGAGGGTAGGCTGCGTATGCGGTACTTTGTGGAACTGACGCAGGCAACTGTGAACTAGCATAATTGCCCCCATATCCAGCGTAAGCGCCATATGCACCCTGCTTCAATTTTGTACGTGTCATTTATAGTAAGAACAGTGTTTAAATCATGAAGCAACTCGCAAGAAGAATATTCCTGATGGTAATCAGACACTTAGGACGTGCAACCAAAGTAAGCAGCATCATCAAAACAATTTATACAACACTATAGGGTGCACATAAGCGCCAAAGATGCATGGTAGGTTCCGCATCAATATCAAGAATATGCTAAACATGATGTGTAAAAGGCTAAAAACCATGGTTTTCAGGATTTCTTTCTTGACCATGTGCATAAAGTGCACTCATCATGTCCGCGTAGAGAAATAACAGACGAACCAATTCAGCTATACAACAGTATCATAAGCAAGGGAATAATAACCTACCTGCTGGGTGTAACCAGCAGCCCATTGTTGTCCCTGTGCTTGTGTGGTTGGTGGCCAAGTTTGAGGTTGCACTCCATAAGCCCACTGGCCCTGTGCATTGGGATATGAACCCATTGAAGATTGGGCAGGTGATGGAACAGAGTAAGATCTCGCCATTTTTGCTTTATCTGAAGTGAGAAAATCCTCTGCATGACGCTTTCTCAACTCTGACATACTCCTGTGAGGCAAGAAGAGTTTGGCGTGCCTATCCTCTGCTCTCTTGATGGATTGAACATGGATTGAACATCTCCAAAAAGATTTAAGAAACTGAAAATTTTGGGGAAAAAGGCACCAAGGAGTTTGTGATTAAAATGTGATGGTGATAGGAAAAACGTGAGCAGCAGCCAGGCCTTTCAATTTTAACAAACAGAAACAACGCAAAATTTTAAAAATAACTATAACCTGTCAATCAACAATACAGGTCGGCCATTAATTTAAAAAAAGTATCAAATTAGGCTATTAGCAGGGAACAAGACATCAGAGTACTGCATTTCATAACTCCAATGCCATTTAACTGGACTATTCTGAATCAATAATCATTGGAACACTGGCAAAGGCCCAAAAGCTTCTCAGATAGGTAGCGATACTTTCATTGGAAAAGTGTCGGCCAATGGGTCACACAGTCCAAAATTATTAAAATATAGCCTGTTTAGTAAGTCTACTTGTTTCAGCACAAAGAAAGAAAATTCTAAAATTTCAGTTCTTATTGCATGATTTGCATCAACTTTTCCACCTAGTTGTTAGTCATAGATGAGTTTAAGCTCTGCTAGGTGTCAAGAGACCCATCTTGAATTTATAGTAACATCAAATATAATGGAAGTTTTATTGATCCGAATCACATCAACTATAATCACGAGTTACAACATCAACATCAAAAGATAGTCTCAAAGCTGGAATTCTCCGACCCCTCCCAGAGTGAACATTTTCAGTTCCCCTGGTTCACCATTTCTCATCTCAAATTACACTTTCTTTCAACTCTTCGCTTTCCATAACACGAATTTACCACTGTTCAATGTTTATATAGACCATGCAGAACACTTGTTATTCAATGTCTTGTTAATATCAAATAACATTGACAAGGAGACATGAGGCATAACAACTTGCTTAAGGGAATTATTCGAGCAGTTGTCTGGAGAGTGACATTATGAAAGAGAGGGAGCGAGGGAGGGAGATTTCATAGGCAGGACTTTTATCCCATGATCAAGTAACAAAGCATCGCAAAACCATTAAAAGAAACTAATATTTTCCTCTCAAATATCTGCATGATAATCAGTCAAAGCTATTTTCCTCAAACTTTCATAGACCTCAGGAAATACTAAGAATCATCATTCTTACAACTGACCTCCAGAAAGATGCTAGAAAGTTCCTCCCTATCAGTTGCACTTGCAGTATTTGGATTCTCTGGGCTGGGAATAATGAATTTTACAACCAGTGAATCTAGAAAGTCAATGTCAACTTTCTTTGGTAGGGGTTGGATCGCCTCAAAATGTAACAAAGCCTGCATGTACCAGAGAAAACGAGGTCAGAATATCTATAACACTTCTGCAGTATCAGTGATATGAGATAATAGCACTAGATAAGAGAACTTCTGCAATTTGAGAGGAAAATCTCCAGCCTTCATCAGCATAAAAGTGAAGGAGCAATTAAGTGCAAAGTTAAAGAACGGAACATACTTCAAATATTGGCCTTGATGACTGAACATGCTCAAGCCCCTCAACTAGAATCTCCCTGGCCTTTTCAGCATTTCCGGAAACCTACAGACCACATAAGATGAGAACAAGACACACAAAGTTCCCATAAAATCAAACCATGCAGGCAAAGAAAATGAAAACAAACCGTGAAGTGGAGTAAAATATGGCCCACTAACTTGTAATAATCAGAACAAATATTTTAAAAAATCGCACTAAGAAATTGACCGTTTGCATTTCATGTCCTCAAATTTTTTTCCTAAAAAAAAAAATCTTGATTCTAAGAATAAAAAATAGTTTACTCATTTACAGCCTCTCAGGCGTTAAATCTTTAGCTTGGAGTGAAAAATCAAAGGGGGAAAACTAATAAAATAGCTAGCCTTGATTACCAGATTTATCAGAAATTCAATTTAAAATTAAAATTTAATTGGCAAGAGTCATAACATGGGAAAGAAGTGAGATTAAATACCGAGCCTAAGAATAAGACAAGATTCATATTAGAAGACAATCAGGGAGATCACAAATATTGCAAAACTTACCAGATATACAAACCGAGAATACTGAGCAAACAACATTGGCAATGTCTGTGAATGTTCTTTTCCTTTTTCAATGGCAATAGCCTGTTCATACAAAGAGTAGGCGTCCTCCAAGTTACCCTGGGAAATTCATGAGATGCAAATGAGGTGAGTAATTTCAATTTACATTGCCTCCCAGTCCAAGTCTAAAAATTATTTCCATAGGCCATCATACCAGTCTATTTTCCATATTTGCATGCCTAATTATTGCTTCAAGAAGACCAGGAGAAATTTCAGTATGCACCAGCTGATAGGCAGCTCGAGCACCAGCTAAATCCCCATTCTGCTCCTTGAAACGCGCAGAAAAAAGATGTATCTCAGGTTGTCTCTGTATAGCGACAGAAACACAATAATTAGATCAAATTGCAAAAACCAAGGGATAATTATCTCTGAACATAAATTATAATTGTAAGTTGCATAAAACCATAGATTGATAAGTGCCAGAAATTACCTTCACAAAGACCTGTGTGCTCGAGCAAGTACATTATTTGCAAGATCCATGCTTCCACTGGCCTCCATACATAATGCATACCGTATCCAGTACTCTGGATAATTGGCACATGCAATGACACATCTTTCATACAACTTTACAACCTGATTCACACAGAACAAAGAGAAGAATATTACATAGATTGTTTCTTTTCATAATTAATATCCACATAAGCCAAAAAGCATTAATACAAAGCACAAAAGGAAATACAAAGCATCAAGAAATACTCCTTAGGGGGACAGAGAGGCCCCTCAAATATGAAAGGAGGGACCCTCCTTGCCTGTGACAGATGACTAGGAAGATTACAAGACACCTGCATGCATAACATTCGCACTTTAAAAAGAATAAACTTTTACAAACACATGACGAACCTAGAATGTCCACTGACAAATTAGAGTTCGAAGTACTTAGCCTCAAGAAACCAAATCGAAGGCCCATGCTTTACTCTCAGTTCAATTTCCCCATTAAAAAGATGCTTCATCCAAGAATTAGCCAATAAAAGCATATGATACAGCAGATATTACTTATAAGTCAATCTATAATAGGAAAAACTAAAAACAGAAAGCGTGCCCATGGAAAACTAGTTCAGTTACCTTGCTGAAGTCGCCTTCCCTTTCTATGAAATCAAGATAACTATGCCAATTCTCAAGCTCTGCAACATTGAGGGGGCGTACATGAAAGTAAGGCCTCCTGATAGCTGTTTCAAAACCAATGATCTTAGAATCGAACTCTTTAGCTTTCTTATATAACTCTTCTCTAATGGCGACATACTTCTCCAACTCTTCCGCTTCTGTTAAGCCAGCACTTACAGGTTTAGGAGGATCTTCAGCACTTTCAGGACGAACCTCTCCCTCATGGGCTTGACCACCATCCTCTAGAACTGTGCCTCCTCCTGCTGCTTCATCAGCAGTACGCAGTTCTGATAAAGGCCGATTTCCAGCTAACTCCTTGAAGCTGCAACACCATTTCCAAAAAGGAAATAATATTTGGTAAAAGATACAGAGCGGACAGGTTACGCACAAAACAAGCAATGAAACATTTGTCATGTATTTATTTGAAACCAAGTGCTAATTATAAAAGCAGCTCAGGGAAGGACACCAAAATCCAAACTACATTGATCAATAAAACAGAAAGAAAATACAATCACCTGCTAAAATACCGATCTAATTGTTGATTTGGATTCTCTAATATTCTAGTGTAAATCATGGCAAGACGGGCCCAATCTTGCTGTATGTACTCATATTCAATGTATTTATCCCATAATGGAAAAGAAAGATAATCTGTTCCAACATAAGCCAATCCACGTTCAAAAAGCCTGGAACATAGAAACATTGGAGTTTAGATTATATGTAATTTACAAGCACCAATTAATGATGCACATCTATATGTGGAAGACAGCAGCATGAACGTTCAGGGAGAACAAACAAATCATCTTAACATCATATAGGACATCCAAACGCTGCATTTACCTTCCTGCATAATATCATTATATGTCCGAGACACGAAGCAGTCATAGAGGCCATCTTAGCCATTAACCAGATCAGATCTTCCCAGCAGCAATTTGCATATTGATGCACCTCAGAGTGTCAAAGTTAAAGACAGCAACCATTCAAAGAAAACTAAATATCTAGGCCCTTGAAATTGATTGGTAATGTAGAATGAGGGGTAAAAGAAGTAGATTGCACTAAACTTAACACAGCAGCAGCCCCTTTGTAGCCTCAAAATCAAGGATTCAAAAAACAGGAATAAAAACAATTTTAATATGGATTCCCATCATAGCTTTTCTGCCAAAAAAGGGGTAACACTGTTGCAAAGTTCTGAAACCAGGTTCTTATAGCTTTTCTGCCAAAAAAGGGGTAACACCGTTGCCATCAAAAAAGTAGACTGAGAAACACCAGAGCCTGGTAAATAGGAAATCAATTTGAGCTCCCAACACAAAAGAAAGGACAAAAAAAAAGCTAAGAACTCATTACCTACGAACTGTGTCTGGATCCCCATATGTGGTTATAGCAAATATGCAATAATGCAACCACATATCCACTGAATATGTAACTCCTTGAACCGCTCGCTCATAAACTTCAACAACTTTATCAATAGAACCAAGACGGGCCTCATGATCAGCATACTTCTTCCAGTACCCGTAGCACAAAGGAAATTCAGCTAGAAAAGCATCATAAACTTTTCGGATCTTCAGAATGTTGTTCTGGAATGGGGGAAGCATCAATAAAAGGGTTTCACTATTACATAGAGAAAAACAAAACAAAACACAACATAACAATGACATTGATAGAACTAGTAAATTGACACAATGGGAAGAAAAATACCACTGAGTATTCTCCATTACGGTAGGGAATGTAGAGAATACAATCACTAATTCAGTCACACACACTAACAGCAACTAGAGCCAGAAAAAACAAAGAACAAGGAGGAAAACAAGATGGAACACACTGCACCTGACTTCTGAGAGGCTAGGCCCTCTCCCCAAAGCTGATACTACTAACAGACTGCCTACACATTTCCTTCCCCTACCCCCACTACCCTGGGTTGTCAGAAGACGTCACCCCAGCCTCATTCCCATTCTGTCTTTCTGTGTCACATCCTTGGGCTGTCCTTTCGGGCTTCCGTTGGTACACATGGCCCCATTTATTTGGAGGCCCATCAGACATCAAGTGGTCAACATAAATTTTAATTACAAGAAGGAACAATGGAGAAGAAAATAGGGAAAACAAAAGGCCATGTGGTCCTCCAACCACTTTTATCAAAAGAGCATTTAATTAATTGGGAATTCCAAACGGCAAAAAAAAAATGATTTCCAAAAAATCAATATTCTGGAATGGTTACATTCTAAATAGAAATAAAAATGAAGACTATGAATGTTAAAAGAAAAATAGATACTTCACGTGCTACAAACAAATTATGTCCCATCCATAGCAGGTATCAAAAATCATAATAAACAAGTCACAAAGCATCAAAAATGTATTCTTCCATGAGTATCTCCTTTACAAAAAAACTCCATCCTATATTTTTGGGTAACAGGAGAAAAAATCAAAATATAAGTAACTTCATTGATCCCCAATGACACCACACCACACGAAAGTTTAAGAAAAAAATTATATAAAGTGATCCAACTTCGATCATAGAAAGTTTTCAAATACATCAACATGATAGTCCAGATATGCAGCTTCCAGTTACCAACCTACAGCTGTTAAACCTGAGAAGCATGAAGCAAAATATCTAAGCTTATTTATGACCTAATCACTTAAGACACCAGAAAAACAAAATCAAAATACGGAGGAAGTGCATATCACCCACCCCGGGGGCTGGGTAGGTTGTTCCCAAAAGAGAAGACCGGTCAAATGCAATGACAGAAGCTAAGCACAATGTATACTTCAAAGATCAGACAACAAATTGCATCATTAAAGTAAACAAGTTGAAAACTCCAATGAAACAGGCAATTTCTGGAAACCTTCAAATGAGGAGATCTAGCAAAACTGATGAATTGAATTCACGTGTGAAAAAAAAAAAAAAGGAGATCCTACATATAGATGCCGTCCAAAAATTTTATTTCAACAAACCTCTGCCGCTTTCTCTGTTTCCTCGATCAGGGAAGTCCAAGCATTAAAATCCAAAGAATTAGCTCTTACAATATTCCACAGCCTATCTTCCTCAGCAGACATTGCAGCTACCAATTGCAAAAAGAAAGCAAGTGTATTAAATTTGTCAGATGCCCTCATATCTTTTACATGTACACGCATGCACACAGAACAGTCATTATGTAAATACGACCCAACAATATTAAGCATTAGATAATGGGACAATATCACAACAGAAAATATAAAAAGCATCAAACAACTATTAGAATAATTCAAAACCCAAGGATGTCAATCGGATGATAATTTTTTTTTTATCATATGCTATATCGAGTAAGACAATAAATTATTTTCAACTAGCTAGTTTTTCGTGAAACTTAAAAAAAAAATGATACAACAACAACAACAACAACAACAAGCCTTTATCCCACTAGGTGGGGTCGGCTACATGGATTGCAAGACGCCATTGTGCTCTATCATTTATTAAGCTTTTAGAAATATTATTAATTAAGAGATCACGTTCAACAACTTCCAAGAACGTTCTCTTAGGCCTTCCTCTACCTCTCTTAATCGGACTCAAAGTTATATGTTCCACTCTTCTCACTGGTGCCTCCCTTGGTCTTCTTTGTACATGCCCAAACCATCTCAACCGATTTTCTACCATTTTTTCCTCAATAGGTGCCACCCTCACTTTTTCACGTATGTGCTCATTTCGAATTTTATCTTTACGTGTATGTCCGCACATCCATCGTAACATTCTCATCTCTGCTACTCCAACTTTATGCTCTTGCTGTCCCGTTAGAGCCCAGCATTCACTACTATATAACATTGCCGGTCTGATAGTAGTACGATAAAACTTTCCTTTAAGTTTATTAGGCACCTTACGGTCACAAATAACTCCTTTAGCTTTTCTCCAATTAAACCACCCAGCTTGAATTCTATGTGAAATATCTCCACTGATTTCGCCATCATTTTGAATAATGGCTCCCAAATATCTAAACTTTTCCACTTGAGGTATAATTTGATCTCCCAATTTCACTTCCAAATTATTTTCGAATAGTCCTTTACCAAATTTACAATATAAATATTTCATCTTACTTCTACTCAGACGAAAACCTTTCGACTCCAATGTCCTCCTCCATAACTCAAGTTTGCAATTAACCTCTTCTCTTGTCTCTGCTATAAGAACTATATCATCCGCGAAGAGCATACATTTCTGGATTTCCTCTTGAATATGTTCCGTCAAAACATTTAAAATCAAGTTGAACAAATAAGGACTCAGAGATGATCCCTGATGTAGTCCAATCTTTATAGGAAGATCCTTTGTTTGACCACTAGGCGTTCTTATACTAGTTTAAAAAAAAAATGATGTGATCACAAAAATTGTTACATGTTAGAAATTATTTTTTATTGAAAACATATAAAATAGACCACAATTGAAGCCCTTAAATAGAAAATTAGCATTTCATAATTTGCAAAAAAAGATAAAATTAAAAGTACCTTGACCATTTTGATTATAGTACATATTTTCATTTGATCTCTTAATAATCATGAATGAGGAATGATGAAACGTCAAAAATCAGTAAAACCCCAAAAAATTGAATACTGCAATCCTTTACACAGAAAAATTGTGATGAACGAAAATAAATCAGGAAGAAAAGAGGAGAACGAGCTACTGTACAGAGAGTAGGTTGAATAGATGTAAATACAACAAGCAATTGGATAAAAGAAACGATAACGGACATGCTAAAAAATAAAATGTTATGGAGAGCTTAACATCCATCGCAAAGATGAATTAAATGAGGGTAGATATATCAAGAGATAAGTGTAGTTAGATATTGTGGGGATTTGGAAGCAAGAGTGTCGACCATGAAAAATCTCTCTGGATAGATATCATTTTTCAGAAAAAAAGGAAAGACCAAAAAAAAAAAATCAAAATGAGCTTAGCTTAGAATTTCAAAGATAACAGGAAAAAACGCCATTGGCTTGTAAGAATTACCTGGAAACTGAAGTCAGTAAATTGTGATTATTTAAAAATTTGATAGAAAAATAACCATTTACGTCTTGCGCTATTAAACTTTAACATGCTGAGCAGACCTCAAATCCTCATTTTTCATATGAAGAAGTCAAATAACAGACAAGATGACCTTATGCCTAACATTTAGTGCCTAGTAAGCAAAAGCATACCATAACCATCTGCAAGCTGTTTCTCCTCAGCTGAACCATCAATATTCTCCAACACATTCCCATTCTCAAGTCCTGTGGCATTTGTCATTGCCCCATTTACAGATGAATTATAGTCAGGCACTTGAGGATATTCTGTGGTTGTGCTCCCACTGGCAGTCTGATTAGCGTCAGTTTGCATAGTTCCATCAGTTGTGTTGAACTGGGCCTGTTGTAGAACAGAATTAGGATCCCCGCTATAAGCATTCCCATCTCCAAAATTCGAACAATTTGATTCAAATGTTGCATTAGCCTGTTGAGCTTCTAAACTAGACTCGACAACAGGAGGAACTGCCTCGGGAATAGCATTTGGGATGGCATCAGCTTGGCCACTTGAAGTATAGCTGCCGGAATTAAAGCTTACAGCAGCAGATTTTTCAGTAAGTGGTTCACTATCACCCATGTTCAGAGAGGTTAGTCTTTACCTCCAAAAAAATCTGCAAACACAAAACAATCACCATCTTTCCTTAGGATGGATTCAAAGTGGAAAACAATCTGTTTACTTTTGGGCTACAGTAATATAGATCAGGAAAGCGTGATAATCCTTGATATATCGTTATTTCCACTTAAGTAGATGAAATATAGACTAGAGACAATTAGTGTGCGCCAAAAACAGTTACCGGCAACATCAAACTAAATTAAATAGAGAATATATCGATTTAGATACATACTTGAACATCTTCCAACAGTGAAATTTAAAATTAAGACCGATAAAGGTGCACGACAATCATGGTAAAATGCTAATTAGAAACACTTAGATACTTCTTCGCGAACAACAACCACCAGCAAAATGCAACATCGACAGAACCTGGCAAACTAATCCATAATTGAAACAATAAGACGCAACAACACGAAACTGTAAACTAAAAAAGATGAATCAAACATCGCCCCTCTATCTAAACAGCAGAAATACCTAGGGTTTCAAACTTTAGACCCTAATTGAAACAACGAACATAGTGCAGGAGCCTTTACCTGGAATGCGAGGCCTTGAATCTCAAGAGTGTTCTGGCACAGCGAAAGATTAAACCCTGCTTGAAGAAAGTGATTTTGGTGTCAAATCGGAAAATAGAATTTGCAGATGAAGTAGGGTATGTTAGCGTGGGGCGCTCCCTTTATATCGCGAAACACTGTGTGCGGGCCGCTTTATTGCCCTTGATGCTGCTGTTAGATCTGATCCGCAAGTGGAATGCACGAGCTTGATCTGAACCGTTGGCTAGGTAGACCTTTGTGGATGACAAAATGTTTGTGGGCTGCGGTTGATGACGCAGGAACATCGTTGCGGCCTTGTGAAGGCGGGCAAGTGGCGTCCTCATTCCTGTTTTCGTGGCACAAGTGCCTGACACCAACGCTAACGAGTTCCACGAGGCAAGTCATTGTGTCTTATTTTGTTTTTTTTTTTTTTTTCCTTGGAGCCAGTAAGTCATTGTGTCTTCAATGCTTTTATTAATTTATTTGTTAGCGGGAGATTGAGCGGGCAGATTTATTAAGACATGCTTAATTTTGAATTCGGATCGTCTACAAATCTTCTTTCTCCTCTTCTACTCTTCGTCTCATCTCCAATGTTAAATAATAAAATAAATGGTTCTGATTTAATTATTTTTATTAACAAATTTTATTGTTTTTTAAAATAATTATCATATAAAAAATAAATAATTTTAAACTATTAAATTTCGACTTGCTATGTTCAAATACCATTATTGAAATTTTTTTATAAATTAAATTTTTTTATTTATTTATGTTATTGTAGCTATAAATCAAATCATGTAGGATAAGTTTTAATAGTTTAAAATTATTAATTTATTTTATTAAAAAACACTTGATTCAACTGGTTGATGAAGTTGAATTAATTTATTCTATGATTTCTAATACAAATCCTATGATAATAAATATGATGAAAATATACTCAAGATACCCGTGAGGCTATCATTATAATAACATTGCAATGCGGCAAGGGTTTGGATTATTATAAGCATTCCTTATTTAAAGGTGGAGATAGAATGAAGAAAAGGGGAAAACGCCACACAAAGGAAAAGGAGGGAGGAACTACAGGGACGATATGCACTCGCTTATTTTATGGTCAGTTTATTCCAACTTATTTTTGGAAAAAAAATTAAGTTTTAGGGCATGTTTATTTAAGATTAAAAAATAAGTGATTTTTAAGTAGTTTTGAGATTTTATAAAAAAGATTTATTTGTAAAGATTTTATCAAAAGCAGATATAATTTTATATTTGGTTACAATAATAAAAAAGTGATTAATAGTTAGTTATTTTTAAATTTTATGATATTTTTCTTAATTTTTGTTTTATAAAAAAATTTATTATTATATTATTTTAAAATTTCATGATATCTTTGCATATCCTATCTCTTTAAAACACTTTCTCTCGTCTTTTTTATTAGACCATTTTCAGAAGTTACTCAAAATAGTTTTTAAAATAATTAAAATTATGTTTTTTAAAATTTTGATTATTTTTTAAAGTTTAGACAAATATTATAAAAAACAAACAAAATAGAGTTTCCTTAAAAAAAAGTATTTTTCTCATGAGATAAACTAAAATAAATTGGCCATTAATGACGTTGGTTTAAACTTTTAAAACTAGTTTTAAAAACAGTTTCTGATTAAAAAATTATTTTAAAAAAATTTTGAAAATAATTTGATATGGTAGCTAAGAAAAAATGTTTTGAAATGATAGGACACGCAAAATTATCATAAAATTTTAAAATAATTAAATAATAAATTATTTTTATGAAATAAAAATCAAAGAAGATATTGTAAAGTTTATTAACAATCATTTTTATTATTATAATCAAACATAAAATAATACATATTTTTTATAAAATCTCTACAAAATAAATTTATTTTTTAAAAATCTGAACTATATAAAAATAAATTTCTTTTAATCTTAAAGAAACTGGCCTTTAAGTTGAATTTATTCAAGTTCATCCAAATAAGTTCAAATATATTAAAAAATACTTTTTTTGTTAAAAAATATAAGGCATTTTTAATTGAATCTCACCCCAATAAAGTAATTATTTATTTTTTAATTAACCCTATCTTTTTATATTTATTCCTATTAAACACCCTACAATAAATACATACAATAAATATAAAGTCATTATCAATAAAAGTACTTTTGAAAAAAAGGCAATGATTACACATCGAATGACTAAAAATGCTTTATATTTTTAAACATCCAATTCCTCAAAAAATATTTTACATTTTTTAATAGAAGAAGTAGATGTTTAACATATATTACATATTAAAAAATGGGTATTTAGCTTAGAGCAATCCAAATTAAGCTTTGCCCAAAAAAATTTGGCCCCAAACTTTGAAAAAAAATTGAAATTTTTCTCAAGGCCGACTCTAAAAATGCTTGAATTTGGTTCAAAATCTCAATTTTATTTGTTCTATGTAACATCCTAATTTTTAGATAAAAAAATATAAAATTTAAGTTAATAATAGGAATTTATATTATTTGAGATTATTTAGAAATAATAATATGGTTAGAAATTTAATTGTGAATTTAAAACTTAGGTTTAAAAATTATATAAAAAATATTTTATTAAGATATAATTTTAAGATTTAGAATAAAAAAATATGTGTGTGTGTGAGTTAAAAAAAAGAAAAGAAAGTAAAAAAAGGGGGGACCGTAGAAGTCCCACATCGATTAGATGTGGGAAGAAAGAAACGCTCCTCGTGTATAAAGGAGCGACGCGGAGGCGCAGGCTAAAGCAAAAGGAAAAAAAAAAAAAAAAAACTTTTATAATTTGTGAAAATTGCAACTAATGGCCCAATATGTAATTTGTGAAAATTACAAGTAATGGCTCAAAGGTTTGAATAATTAAATTCAAACCTATAAATTTTTTTTAATATAATTTTGGGACCCACAATCTCATTTTTATATTATTTTTCTCTTTTTCTCTCATGTTGCTCGGCCTTTTCTCGCAAGGGGGGATTATTTTCTTTTTCTTCAAGTATGTTCTAACTTTCCTGTTTAAATTAGCATTTAAAAATTTATTTAATTACAAAATTAATTTTATAGTTATTTTCTAAATAATATTAGCTTTCTAGTGATATGATTATTTTGTAGGATAGAGTAAATATTCTGATTAAAATTTTTTTATAAGATAGTTAATCTGATGATATGATGGATTAAAAATATAGGTTAAAGCTCTTAGGGATATAATAAATATTATAGAATATTTTCTTAAGTTGAAACTTATGTTTAAAAATTTTTGAGTTAAAATCTAGATTTATATGGTTGAATTTATGTAGAATCTGAGATGTAGGGATGAACCTCTGATTATTAAATATTTATTTAAGTATGAATAGGTATTTTTGAGGTTATAGAAAGGTGATTTAAGGCTTAAAAATAGTTTATTAGGGTACGAGAATTTTAGAAAAGAATTTGAGAAGTTAAATAAGGCATAAATCTTAAATTAGTGTTAATATGGATTATAGATCTAAAACTTTCTAACTCTTTAAATTAGAGTTATTTATTTTAATATAAAGTTAATATATAGTATTATGAAATAACTATGTAGATTGTGTTGACAAAGATAGTGGTGAAAGAGGAGTTGTGAAGGGGAACTTGTTATTCAAGACACAAGGTAACCATTATTAATGTGTTGTGATGGGTGTGTTTGTGAATTGTTATGTGTTGTTTTTATTGTTTGAAAAAATTATGAATTATTGAAAATAAATACTGTATATACTTGTTTGAAATTATTGCCAAGTGTGTTAAAAAATTTATTTTTGTTTATCATGATGAGATATTATTGTTCGGATATATTTCTGTTTGGATATTTGAATGATGCACGACTTGTCAGGGTATTTTAATGTATGATGTTAATGAGAATTTCTGTTCAGTTAATTATTACCATGTGGTAAGCCCTCATTGGACCCAATGAGTGGCGTGTCACTTGGTCTAACTCACCTTTGACCGGGTGATTTGACGTCCGAGCATGGCGAAAGGAGGATATAAGGTGCAGTCATGCAAATTAAATACTTGTTCGGTTTATTTGAAAATATTGTTCGGTTAAATATTTTATATGCCTATTTAGCAATCGCATGATTAGTTACAACCGCATGCATCATCACATATTAATTTTTGGTCACTGGGACTTTTAAGTCTCATTCCCCGTGGTTAATATTTTTACAGGAGCGAGTCCGGTCGAGAAAGCACCAGAGGTGTAACTATGGTGTATGAGACACCATCTTTTACGTTGCATCTTATTTTGGATTATACAATGTATCTTGTGCCAACTTAGGACATATCTTCTTTGTGAAGCATGTAAACTCTAATCCTTTTTATTAAAAGTATTTATATGACCAAGAGGATTATGTCTGTCCCTCTTGATGTATGATCTGATTTGAATATCATGCCATGAGGATTATGTCTGTCCCTCATGATTTTAATTGTCTTTTTGGATATTTTAAGACTTGTGTTATGTCTTGGATGTATCATGGTAAGAAAATTTTCTACCACGATAATGGTTTTTAATAATTTGAAAAAAATCAATTTATATTTTTAAGGGTGTTACATTCTAGCCCCATCTTGATGCTTGGTTTGAGGGGGATTTAACAAATTCAATTTCTAAGAATATAGATATGCAGGGTTATAAAATTTTGATAATGAGAATATATAAATTAAAAAAGTAAGTAGAGTTAATTAAAATCAATCAACACCACCTCTCCATTTTTTAAAGATTATACTCACCAAGTTTCTCTTCTAACCAAACAAATAAGAGTTAAGGTTAGAGCTGGGAAGCAGGCAAGCTTAGCCCATGAGCTCAGTTTTTCATTTTTTGGCCATTTTTTTAAGCTTGACCCTATTCAAAAGGTTTAGAGTCAAGCCCATAAGCCTTATTTTAAAAAAATTAAAATAAAATTAAACATCATAAATTAATTAAAAATATTTTAAAATCCAAAATAAAACAAATCAAGATACTCATAATGTTCAAGAACTTAAACACCACATATTTAAAAGACTAAATTAATTCAAATATTCATCAATCTAAATTTAAATTATAATTATCATCTATAAATAAAATATTAGAACTCTTAAAGATAGGTCCATTTGATAAAAGTGGAGGATGTTCAATGGCAATATACTCCCTCACCACTTCTTCTTCACTAATAATAAATATTAACCAAAGTATGCCATTATCAAATAAATATATGTATGTATGTATGTATGTATGTATGT